AACATGTATTATGAAAAAGATATGCATGGGTTTCAAGGGGGCTGTTTTTTGCACCAAAATAAACTCATACTCTAATTTTATTTTTCCACAATCTTTTAAAGTCTTCCATATTATGAGCTATCAAGCTTACAGTTGTGAATGCAAATTTCCCCAAATCTTCATTTTGAAAGCTCAAATTTTATTATTGGTGATAAATACTGGCAGTTGTTTTTATATAAGGTTCACTTCATTCATTTCCAAGAAAGTGCCAAGTACTCAAGACTGAAAAACCATAGTTTGTCTGCCAGTCATTGTTCAGGGAAAAATGGTGTTTCATCAAAAAAGTAGCTAATTCAAACTGGAAATTCACCTGCAGAGGAATGAAACTTGACCTGTAGATCTTAACACTAACAAAAATAAACTAAAAATGGATTAAGGATAAAAACATAAAACCTCAAATTATAAAACTACTGGTGAAAAATACAGGGAGAGTTCTTGGAGACCTTGGAGTAGGCAAAGACTTCTTAAAGAAAACTCCAGAGCACAGACAATAGTTCAAAAATAGACAAGTGGGACTACATCAGACTAAAAAGCTTCTGCACAGTTAAAGAAGCAATAACAAGAGTAAGGAGACGACCTTCAGAATGGGAGAATATATTTGCAAACTCTATCTCAGATAAAGGACTGCTAACCAAAATATACAAAGAACTCAAGCAGGTTACCTACAAATAAATAAATAATCCAATTAAAAGATGGGAAAATGAGCTGAACAGACAACTTTCCAATGAAGACATACAAATGGCCAAAAAGCATATGAAAACATGCTTGACATCTCTTATCAAAAACCACAATGAGATACCCCTTAGCTCCAGTCAGAGGAGCTAAAATAAAAATAAATAAAGAATGATAAGTACTGCCAGGCTCTGGTGAAAAGGGAACTCTCTTACACTGTTGGTGGAAATGTAAATTAGTACAACCGCTGTGGAGAAGACACAGAGGCTCCTCAGAAATCTACAAATGGAACTAGCATACAATCCAGTAATTCCACTCTTAGGTATTACCTAAAGGATAGGAAAATTCTCAGTAGGAAAAACACTTGTACATCCATGTTTATTACAGCACTAGTTACAGCTGCTCAGATATGGAATCAACTCAAATGTCCAAAAATAGATGAGTGGATTGAAAAAATTTGGCATATGTACTCTATAGAATACTACTCAGTCATATAAAACAATGAGATCCTGACATTTGATACGAAGTGGACAAATATGGAAGACTTAATGCTAAGTGAAGCAAGGCAGAGTATGAAAGACAGACTTTATATCCCCACTCAATATATACCGAATGTCTGTGCTCTATAGCAGAAACTGTAAGATTGGAAGGTATAATAGCAGGGAGGGCAACTGTAAATACTACATATAGTAAGGATAGGGGTAATACAGGGGTGGGTAATAGAGGGAGGGACGTGAATAGGAGGAAAAGAAATAATATATTTAATTGAGAGAAAAATGAAAAGTCAATTGCTGATGATAATGTATATGGTAATGTCTTTGTTTTGACTGATATACACTGTATTTGTGGATATATATATGTGTGTGTGTGTATATATATATATATATCATACACACAGATACATATATATACACTAATATATATATATGCACTCAGATACATTTATATACACTATACTATATATATACTAAAAAATATATATATACACACACAATAAGATACATAGATATGTATGTGTGTGTGTGTATATATATGTATATGTATACACTAAGTAAAGAAAAAAGTAGCTAATTCAGTTCTGCTGAAAAGTAACTAATTCATTTTTTCTCAAATCACTGTGCAAATATTTTCCTTTGAGACAGCTATTGCACTAAGCTATGTAGCAGTATTTTGTATGTTCATCCCATGCAATATTAAAAAGATATGCACCCAAGCATCAAGATTTAATAAAATTTATCATTTTATTATGAATTAAGACTTCATTAAAGACCTTTTGAAATAAAACTGAATTAAAAAAATGGGAGGGCCAACCTACAGCCTGGTGGTTAAGGGTGGTTAAGGTGGCTGAATCCCACATGGCCAACTGTGCAGTTCGAGTCTCATATCTGGTGGTTTGAGAAACATGCCAGGCATATGTGCATGTGTGTCCAAAATCTCCAAAGGAGGGAGAGATAGTGGTGTGACCATCCTCTATGGGGGAGGGGCTTTCTCATTTTCCTTCTCTCTCTGTCTCTCTCCAGTGAGGGCATGCACCATCTGGCAAAATCTTAAATAATGAATGTATGTCTATAAAGAATACAACCAACTAACTACTAGTATAGCTTAGGAACACTGCCTTGATCCATGTAGGTCACCAGCAGCTTTACTCACCTTTGTTTTTGCACCATCAGTGCAAATATCAACCCAGTGAAAATGGCAAATCACATGTTAGTATTGTTTTAAAAATAGTTTTGACTTAGTTTCAGGGACCTGTGATAGCTCATGAACCACACCATGAGAACTATTGATAAACAGTATGATTCCAATTTTATGTAAAAATGATGCAGAAACATATCTAATAATATCTGAAAGAATTTTTCACCAAGTTTCAACTGTGTGAACCTTTTTGACTGACACCACAGACCCTTACATATGGTGAATGTTTTTCATGCACATATAGAAGTATAAAAGGTCTTCATAAAATTCATAGAAAATGCATATTGTGTGAAAAGTATGAATGGATTTCAATGTTTTTTCATCGTAATAAACTTGTACTTTAATTCCACTTTTCCACATTTTTTTGAAGTCTCCTTGTATATCACAG